AATCAATAGGTTGAAAGATGACTATCAATTAGAAAAATTATTAATTTCAGAGGATCAAAGCAATAAACTTGGTGAGGTATTGGGCGTGCTATATGGAATGTACAATCAAATATAATTCAAAATAAAATAGTACTCGAGTCTCCTGAATCGTTTGACCAGTATTGTAATAGATTTCCAAATTTTCTTAGAAATTTTTTTAATAGCTTTATAACCTTCATACAAAAAAAAAAATATTAAATTTGTTTGAAGAAGCAAAAACAGCGAAAAGGTAAAATTGAAGAATTTGATAGTATACAACCCTTTAAAATTTCAGTTTTTTTTATGTCTACAATTCTTACTATGGCTTTCCCTAGTATTAATATTTGGCTTACACATACAATAAGTTCATTATGTAAAAAGCCCAACCTTTTATCCTCCTTATATCAAATTTTATGTACAGCAAACGTTGTATCGCATTCACAGCGTCATGAAAGACGTCTTGAGAAAAGCCAACGAATATATTCAATTCCAACAACCCGATTACTTGAAGGACCCAATATTTGGAGCATATATATTTTAGACAATATTGATTTTATGAGGCGATCATTTAGTTTTGGAAATATCTATGATACTACTCGAATTACTGCACATGTATGTCTACGAATGGTTTTTCAGTTTGAGTTGCCGATTCCTCTAGAGGAAATTTTTGCTAAAGCAAAAGCTTCACTGAAAGACTATTTATTTGAAATTGGTACTTCAACATTTACAAATCAAATGAATCTGAAATTTGAAAATACATTTCATAGTTTATCAACACGTGATGAAAAAGAACTTGACGTTGATAAAGTATTCAAAGAATTAATCAAACATATAGTGATAAAACTAGGTTGTCAAGTGCCAGCACCAAATGTAGTTATTTTAGAGCCAGAAAATAATCCATGTTCGGATAAAGCAGTATATAAGGCTTGTGAGATGTTTTTTGATAATGTTGGAAAGAAAACTAATAGGCATGGCAAAATTGATATAGTTGCAGATGAAGCAATTTTTCAACGCTTAATTTCA